ATATTGATTATATAAAGCATTTTTTAAAAATATACTTTTTATTTTAACATTTATTAAAACATTTTTTTATTTCCAAATTATCTTACTTTCTTCTGCCCTTCACCTACCCGTTGAGAAGGCAAGCAATATGATATCACTTATACATGTGAAGTCATGCAAAACACATTTCCATATTAGCTATGTTGAAAAAAAAACACACACAAAAAGAAAAACTAGGTGTCAATCTGCATTCAGAGTTCAGCAGTTCTCTCTCTGGATGTCAATAGCATTTTTTCATTGTAAGTCCTTTGAAATTGTCTTGGATAGGGGCAGTTGGTGGCGTGGTGAATAGAACTCTGGTGTTGGAGTCAGGAGGACCTGAGTTCAAATCCAGCATCAGACAACTTAACACTTACTAGCTGTGTGACCCTGGACGAGTCACTTAATCCCAATTGCCTCACCAAAAAGCAAAAAAAAAAAATTGTCTTGGATAACTCTATTGATTAGAGTATCTAAGTCTTTTACAGTTGACCATGGTAATTGTATTGCTATTACTGTGTATGCTGTTCTCCTGGTTCTCCTCACATCACTTTGTATCAGTTCATATGAATCTTCCCAGGTTTTCTGGAAATCATCCTGCTCGTCGTTTCTTAAAGCACAATAGTGTTCCATCATAATCATATACCACAACTTGTTCAGCCATTCCCTACTGGATGAGTATCCCCTCAATCTCTGTTCTTTGCTACCACAAAAAGAGCTGCTATATATGAGTGTGTGTGTATGTGTATACACATTTATATGTATGTATGAGTATAGATATCTAAGTATATATATATACATGTGTATATAAGTGTATATGCATGTATATATATGTTTGTGTATAGGTCTATATATGTATATATGTATGTATATACATACAGACACACACACATATATCCATGCTTAATTGTAGCCTTCTTGGGGGAAGGGGGAAAGAAGGGGAAGAAAAATAACAAAGTAAGTAATAAGAGCACAGCAGAGAACAAAAGAAAACATACAAGGAAGCAAAGATGGACAGTTCTGAATACAATGTGTAGTATTTATTATATAGGTTTTCTTGAAATGGAAATTTATTGCTGTACATTTTGAATCCTCTCATGTTCTGCTGTGCACATGGTGATGTTTTTTTCTTTCCTTATTTTCTATTTAAGTTTTAATATTTAAGTTTATGTTTCTCTTTCTTTTCTTATTGTGTATTTAAGTTTAAAGAAATTAATTTTTTTAAAGCTGCTATAAATACTTTTGTATAGGTCCTTTTTCTTTTTCTTTTATCTCTTTGGGATACAGTAGTGGAATTGCTGGGTCATAGGGTGTGCACAGTTTTATAGCTCTTTGGGAAGAATTCTGAATTGTTCCCAGAATAGGTTCATAGCTCCACCAATAGTGCATTAGTGTCCCAATTTTCCCATATCCCCTCCAGCACTTATTTTCCTTTTCTATCATATTAACCAATCTGATAGGTAGGAGGTAGTACTTCAGAGTTTTTTAAATTTGCTTTTCTCTAATTATTAGTGATTTATTAACTTTTTCATCTAAAAACTGCCTGTTCATATCTTTTAACCATTTATCAATTGGGAAATGACTTATTTTTATAAATTTGGCTTATGAAAAATGAGATCTTTATCAGAAAAACTTGCTGTAAATTTTTTTTCCAGTTTCCTGTTTTCTGTCTAATTTAGGATGCATTGGTTTTGTTTGTGCAAAAACTTTTAATCAAAATGATCTATTTTACTTCCTATGATCCTCTCTATCTCTTATTTGCTCATAAACTCTTTCCTTATCCATGGATCTGACATGATAAATCTGATCAATCTGACAGATAAATTTTTTCATACTCTCCCTAATTTGCTTATATCAACCTTTATGTCTTGGAATGTGGTGTGAGATGTTGATCTAGGCCTAGTTTCTACCAAATTGCCTTCTTGCTTTTCCAGCAATTTTGTCAAATAGTGAGTTCTTGCTCCAAAAGCTTGGATCTTTGAGTTTATCAAACACTAGGTTACTATGATCATTAACCACGGTGTACTGCATATCTCATCTATTCCATTGATCAGTTAGACACTCTTTTTCTTATTCAGTACCAGATTGTTGTGATGATTACCATTTTGTATTATAGTTTGAGATCTGGAACTGCTAGGCCATCTTCTTTCATACTATTTTTTTTTTCATTAATTCCCTTGACATTCTTGATCTTTTGTTCCTCCAGATAAATTTTGTTATTATTTTTTTCCTTGCTGTATAAAATGTTTCTTTGGTAGTTTGGTATGGTACGGAATAAGCAAATTAACTTAGGTGGAGATGTCATTTTCATTATCTTGGCTTAGGCCATCCATGAGCAATTAATATTTCTCCAATTGTTTAGATTTATATTTGTGTGAAAAGTGTTTAGTAATTGTATTCATATAGTTCCTGGGTTTGTTTCAGCAGGTAGACAAGTATTTTATATTTTCTACAATTATTTTAAATGTAATTTCTCTTTCTATCTTTTCCTCTTGGGTTTTGTTGGTAATATATAGAAATATTGATGACCTATATGGGTTTATTTTATATCCTGTAATTTTGCTAAACTTACTCATTGGCTCAACTAGTTTTTTTAATTGATTCTCTAGGATTCTGTAAGTATACCATCATATCACCTGCAAAGAGTGATTGTTTTGTTTCCTCATTGTCTATTTTCATTCCTTCAATTTCTTTTTCTTGTTTTATTGCTATAGCTAGAGTTTCTAGTACAATAGTGAATAATAGTGGTAACAATGGACATCCTTGCTTCACCCCTGAGCTTATTGGGAAGGCTTCTACTTTATCCTCATTACACATAGTGCTTGCTCTTGACTTTACATAGATACTACCTACCATTTTATGAAAGGCTCCGTTTATTCTTATACTTTCTAATGTTTTTTAAATAGAAATGGGTGTTGTATTTTGTCCAAAGCTTTTTCTGCCTTATTGATTTAATAATATGATTTCTGTTGGTTTTGTTATTGATGTGGTCATTTATACTTAGAGTTTCCCTGATATAAAAACAGCCCTGCACTCCTGGTAGAAATCCTACCTGGTCATAGTGTATGATCTTTGTGATATAATACTATAGTCTCCTTGCTAGTATTTTGTTTAAAATTTTTGAAGCAATATTAGGGAAATTGGTCTATAGTTTTCTTTCTCTGCTTTTATTCTCCCTGCTTTAGGTATCAAAACCATATATGTGTCATAAAAGGAATTTGGTAGGATTTCTTCTTTACCTTTTTTTCACATAGTTTACATAGTATTGGAATTAATTGTTCCTTAAATGTTTAGTAGAATTTACTTGTAAATCCATCTGGTCCTGGGGAATTTTCTTAGGGAGTTCATTTATGGCTTGTTCAATTTCTTTTATTAAGATACAGTTATTTAAGTATTCTATTTCCTCTTCTGTTAATCTGGGCAATTTATATTTGTATAAATATTTATCAATTTTACTTAGATTGTCAGTTTTATTAGCATATAATTGGGCTAAATAGTTCTTAATAGCTGCTTTGATTTCATTTTCACTGGTGATATATTCACCCTTTTCATTTTTGATACAGGTAATTTAGTTTTCTTCTTCCTTTTTTAAAAAAACAAATTGACCAGTGGTTTATCTATTTTATTTTTTCCATAAAACCAGCTCCTAGTTTTATTTATTAGTTCAAAGTTTTTTTTATTTATTTAAGTAGGTAGATAACACATTTATTAAGGGCTGACTAGGAACCAGGCCTTGTACTTTAGCATTAGGGATATAAATTCAAGCAAAATTAAAAATAGTCCCTGCCCTCAAGGAGCTTTACATTCTTTTTTTTCAAATATAGGCATTTATTGGGGATGACATAACACACCAAATAGGTTCCTTAAGGGAGACCCAGCTTAAGGGGGGTGGCAGCCTCCCAAGAGAGAGGGGGCTTAAGGGAGCTGGCTCTTTAAGAAAGACCCGAGCTTAAGGGGGACACTTTCCACTTGAGGAAGATGCCCAAAGAGCTTACATTCTAGTGGGGGAAGACAACATATACAAGGGAGCTAGAGAGGGTGGGAGGAATAAGGGGTACCTGGTGCAGGATTATGAGGGCAAACTTCTTAGAGTTAGGAGCACAGCTGGGAGGAGAATGAAGCATGGCCACACTAGGCCCTTCCCCATAATAGAAGCCTTGAAAGGAACTTTATTCTGATAGAGGGTGGGAGCAGAGAGATATTGTAGGCCACAGGAACTGAGGGAAGGGCCAGGGTGAGAGGGCAACTCAGTCATGCTGGCAAAGTTCAAAGGCCCAGAGATATTCAGTGATTTACCTAAATCAGGGAGAAAGGTATTGAGCTAAAACTTGAACCCAAGGACAGCCACGAACAGAATGCATTCTTTAAGTCATGCCTGTTTCTTCTGACCCCATTTGGGGTTTTCTTGACAAAGATGCTGAAGTAGTTTGTCCTTTCCTCCTCCAGCTCATTTTACAGATGAAGAAACCGAGGCAGAGAAGGTGAAGTGACTTGCCTAGGGTCACAAGCTAGTAAGTGTCTAAGGCTGGATTTGAACTCAGGTCTTCCTGACTTCAGGCTTGGAGCTCTATCCACTTTGCCACCCTTTCTCAGGATAATTTAAAAAATATAACTAAAATAAAAAAATAACTCATAACTAAAGAAATACTAAATCAAGGTGGAACTTTTTCCCTATGCTGGTCCGTACACCTGTGTGTGAATCTATCTGTAGGTTAAGAACATGTGTGCTGGAGAAATTTGATTTATTGTTATCTCCATACTGGACAGGGGCCAGAGGAACTTGCCACCATGTTCTTCATTCTCAGGCCTAGCTTTGCTTCTAAAAGACCTGGGGTGGGAGAGGTGGAATGAATAAGCCTTTCTGTTGGCCTTGGAATCCCCTCCCCTACTACCTTTTAACTAATGATGCCCCAGAAGATATTCTCTGTCCCTTTGCCCTTTGAGCCAGAACTAAGTTACTGATCAATCAACTTGGCTGCTTTAGAGGAAAGCCAAAGGCCAGGAGGGATTTCACCAGCCCTAGGGCAGCATGGAGCAGCTCTTTTCCTGCCATGGCCGAAGACTTCTCCAAGCCAGTTTGTGGAAGAATGGCGTCCATCTTAGGGCCTCCTCAGGAGTCAGCATGTTACGAAAGTCGGGGGCCTGTCAAAGGCCTTTGACAAGGACCTTTGCCATGCTCCGGGGGGCCCACTCTGGCTGCCTAGCTGGCTCTGCTCCCAGGCTTCTTGAGAACCACCTCCAACAGTCAGACATCCCAAGCCGATGGGCCTCAGGCGCCACATGTAACTCACCTCCCAGCTCTGAGATTGTAGCCCGACCAGTGGGTGTCTGCACCATGATGAGACTGCCCTTGCAGGGCTCCCCTGAAGGGCTGGATGCTGCATTTGTGGGCGTTCCTCTAGATATTGGCACTTCCAACCGACCTGGGACAAGGTAAGCTCTCTCCCTCTCTCCCTCTCTCTCTCTCTCTCTCTCTCTCTCTCTCTCTCTCTCTCTCTCTGTCTCTCTCCCTCTCTCTCCCTCTCTCTCCCTCTCTCTCTCTCTCTCTCTCTCTCTCTCTCTCTCTCTCTCTCTCTGTCTCTCTCCCTCTGTCTCTCTCCCTCTCTTCTCTCTCTCTCCTCTCTCTCTCTCTCTCTCTCTCTCCTCTCTCTCTCTCTCTCTCTCTCCCTCTCTCTCTCTCTCTTGACAACAGAGCACCCAGTGCCCCCCAGACATGGAGTTTGGAGTCCTGGCTTGTATTCCAGCCTTCATAATTTCTTAGTTATGTGACTTTGGGCAAGGCCTTTCATCATTCTCATCTGTAAAATAGGCAGTAATAATCCACTATTGTACTTCCCTCATAGGGGTGCTGTGAATGAATTAGAGAAAAACTATTAACTGCTTACTGCACTCTATGGGGCAGTGGAGAGAGACATGGAGTCAGGAGGACCTGGGTTTAAATCTGGCCTCAAATACTGAGTAGTTGTACGGCCTGAGGTAAGCCACTTAACCCCTCTGGGTTCAGTTTTCTCCTCTGTAAAAGGGGGATGATGACAGCACCTACTCCCAGGGTTGTTGTGAGGACCAAATGAATGAACAGAACTTGGCTCACTTATACAAATGCTACCTCTCATTTATATAGTATGTTAAGGTTTGCAAGGTATTAAACATTTGTTAACTCATTTGATCCTCACAACAAATCTGGGAGGTGTAGGTGCTGTTAGTTTCTCCATTTTTCAGATGAGGAAACTGAGGCACAGAAGGGTTCAGTGCCTTGCCCAGAGTTACATCAAGTTGGTGTCTGAATTGGATTCGAACAAGGTCTTCTTGACTCTAGGTCTGGCCCCCTCTCCACAGCATACTTCATTTGGATCAGGATTTTAATGGAGAGTGGGTTCGCTAATTAATTATTATGGATGTAGAGGCATCTCTGGGTTATCAGAGGCTATGCCAGCAGAGTGCCAGATTAGCAGGCCCCGCCAGGTTGCATAGGCTTAGAACATGGGCTCTGTGAGTGACTGACAAAATGTCTCTTTTTGGAGGACTAACCTGGGCACCGGGTTGGTTGCAGGGTGATTTTTTTTGGTGGCTAGAGCTACCAAGGGGGAGCAGATAGAACACTGGGCCTGGAGTCAGGAAGACTCATCTTCATCAGTTCAAATCCAGCCTCACACACTTCCTAGCTGTGGGATTCTGGGCAAGTCACTTCACCCTGCTTGCCTCAGTTTCCTCATCTGTAAAATGAGCTGGAGAAGAAATGGCAAGCCACTCCAGTATGTTTGCCAAGAAAACCCCCAATGGTCATGGAGAGTCGGAGTCGACTGAAGCGACTAAAGACCAGCCATTAAGTCATTGGAGGCTGTAGTCTGCACCGGTGGAAGGAGGGCCAGATCCTGGGAACCCGATGTACCGAAGCTGATGCTCGTAGCGCAGCCTGAGCAGCTGACACGGGGCGGGGGGGGCTGTGGCCTCTGCAGAAGCATAGCCGCTGCCATGAATGTGCTGAGAGGGATGAGCTGAGGGGGCTGCTAACCAGGAGGCAGGAGGGAGGTAGACCAGGGTTCTCTGACTTTATCAAACCAGACCATTGACCAGCATTAGGCTTGTTTATGCCTTGTACTTCTGGGGGAAAAAATTGTTCAGTCATTTCAGTCGTGTCTGCCTCTTCTTGGCCTCATCTGGGGCTTTCTTGGCAAAGACACTGGAGCGATTTGTTGTTTCCTTCTCCAGCTCATTTGACAGGTGAGGAAACTGAGGCATACAGGGTAAAGTGACTTGCCTAGGGTCATACAGCTAGTAAGTATCTGAGGTCAGATTTGAACTCAGAGAGCTGAGTCTTCCTCACTGCAGGCCTTGTACTCTATCCATTGTGCCACCTAGCCTCCCTCAAAGCTCTTGGAGGTGGAGCTGCTTTTATATTTCTCCTAAAAATTCTTATTTCTGAAAAACTAACAAGCTATGCTTAAATTGCCATTTAAAAGAAAATTCTTTTGTCCTACACACATGGCTCATTGGGCAGCTAGGTGGCACAGTGGGCCTGGAGTCAGGTAGTCCTGAGTTCAAATCTGACCTCAGACAGTTACTAGCTATGTGACCTTGGATAAGTCACTTACCCTCTGCCTGCCTGTTTCCTCAACTATAAATTGGGGATAACATTAGCCCCTGCCTTTTGGGTTTGTCGCAAGAGTCAAATGAGATAATGATTATGAAGTGCTGAGCATAGTGTCTGGCACATAGCAGGCACTTAATAGATGCTAGCTGTTGTTATTAATAATAGAAATTATTATTATTATCTGGAGAGAAGGGCTCCTCCACACTGCTTCTGTTAACAGCTGGCTGACTGCTCCCAGAGGCTCTGCACCTTGCCCAAGGCCACACAGGGCCCTTCCTCCCCTTTTGCAGGTGAGTCACTGTGATGCTCCTCATCTCCCAGGTTTGGACCTCGACGGATTCGGGAGGAATCTGTGTTGCTGAGGGCAGTTAACCCAAGCACGGGTGCTGTCCCCTTCCAGTCCCTCTCAGTGGCTGACATCGGTGATGTGGATGTCAACCTGTACAACCTCGCGGACAGCTGCCGGCTCATTCGAGAAGGCTATCAGAGAATTGCGGCGACCAGCTGTATTCCTCTCACCTTAGGTAAGGGACCACGGCAGTCTATTTTCATATCATGAGGCAGCTAGGTAGTGCAGGGGATAGAGAGCCCTGGAGGTCCTGACCTCAGATTTGGCCTCAGACACCAACTAGCTGTGTGACCCTGGGTGAGTTATGTCACCTCTGTCTGCCTCAGTTTCCTCAACTGTAAAAGGCGGAGAGTAATAGCATCTACCTCCCAGGGTTGTTGTAATGATCCAATGAGGTCATATGTGTAAAGTGCTTAGTGCTATGTAAATGCTAGTATCCCTAGCTAATTTTTTTATTATAGGTTTAAGCCTAGTGCTTGCCCAGGGCAAGTATGGATTACTGTTTCACTCATTTTGCAGACATAGTGAAGGCCCACATTTGTAGTCCTTGCAGCTGGTGGAAGGAAGAAAAAAAGCATGTATTAAGCTCCGACTTTGTTTAAGGCACTGTGCTAAGTCCTTTAAAAATAGTTATTTCATTGTATCTTCCCAACAACCCTGGGAGTTAGGTGCTATTATGATCCCCATTTTACTGTTGAGGAAACTGAGGCAGGCAGAGATTAGGTGGACTTGCCCAGAGTCACACAGCTAAGTGTCGGGGCCAGATCTTAACTCAGTGATGGATCACTTGAGTTGGGAAGTCCTGGGCTGCAGCTGATTGAGTTTTCATACTAAGTCTGGCACCAAGATGGGGAGCCCAGGAGCAATCAGAATTGGGATTGAGAAAGAAAGAGAAATGTCATTCATTGTCCTACCTGGGCATCCCCTGTGGGGAAGATGACAAAATTAAAAGAAACTCAGATTGGTCAAGATCTTTCACACAGACAGATCTGGGCCAATGTGAAGGCTTCAGAAGGCAGATACCACAAACCTGTAGAGCCAGGGCTGACTGGCATGCCTGCTGAAGTTCCCTGGTCTATTGCTCACCTCCCCTTCCTCTCAACTGCCTGCTGGATTTATAAGTGCTTAATATAACATTTAATACATATGTAGTGCTTACATAACATATATATATATATATATATATATATATATATATATATATATATATATAAAATAGTGCTTAATATAACATTTGCCCCATATATTATGAGCTACTGAAGGTCCAAGTACATTTTCTTTTTTTGGACTGGGGAGACAAAAGCCCCTTTTAGGCTCTTCAAGATGACATGGAGACAACCTTGAGTGGGTGGGTGGGAGTGGGAGGAGTGGGGTTATCCCAGCAGATGCTCCCAGACTGGGAAGACTTTGAGTCAACAATTCCCCCCCCCATAGGCTATGTGTGTGTCCCTTCTTAGGAAATGCCCTCAAGCTTCTCACTTTAACGTGGGCTCTGAGGTGCCACGAAACTGTCTACATTAAGCTTCATTGGTAGAGAGATGAGCCATCCTGATGGCTTTAGGCAATGAGGACACAACCCCAATACTTGTATCAGCACCACTTTTAAAAATTTTCTTGAACATGGTTTGGTGTGTGCCTCAGTTTCTCTAATGTGCTTCAAAAGTGAATGTTCAGATGGGGGCTATTCCCCTTCCTCAATCCTTGCCACCCCCTCATGGAACCCACTCTTTTTTCAGGTCTGGCTCCAGTTCTTTCATCTTAATGGAAAGGAGCTCCAAATTAGATGCATTTTAACTTGTTATATCTATGTTCTAGGCAGAGTCATCACTCCTCCCTGTAATTCTGAAGGAGGGTGATTTTTTTTCTTTTTCTTTCATTACAGGAGGAGATCACACAATCACTTACCCCATACTGCAGGCGTTGGCGGAAAAGTGAGTTTCGGGAGATCTAAAACAAATTAGTTTTTAACAATCCGGGCACTGTTGGCTCTGAGGTTCTGTGAGCTCAGGTCATTGGTTGGGGGTGGGGGAGGGTTAGGAGGTTGCCTAGCCAAAGGGCTGGGCTGGTGGTGTGCATCTAGGATGACTGAAGAAAGACTCCATGAGTATCTGTCATTTGCCAGGCACAAGTCAGAATCTTTTGGTCTCCAGAGCACATTCACCCTCTGGTGCCGGCTTCCATCTTGTTCTGACCAGCGTGCTCAGCATTTTAAACTTTCCTTCTGGTTTTGTGAAAGCTGGTACCCAATGAAGTACTCAATCTCTAGATAACAGTGAGTTTCATTTGGTTTGGTTTCAGCATTCAGTGACAAAGGAAAGACTGAGAGAGTTTAGATAAGGGTGAGCTTGGAGGCAGGGGCTCTTTCCTACCCAGAAGATCCCCAGACAACAGACAGGGTGTTTCCCAGGAAAAGTTGAGCAAGGAAATGCTCCATTGTCGCCTCGATGGAGAACAGAGAACAAGGGGGCCATTTGGGTTTGGTCCGTATTTGATGAAGTGTAGTCCTGTGGTGTGCCCATGGCCACCGTGGGGGTGGCATGGTATGGTGAAAAAATGGATTGGGAGCCAGGGAGCCTGGGTTGACCTTCAACAAGTCACTTAACCTCTGGAGGCCTCCCATTTTCTCCTTTATAAAATAAGGGAGTTAGACTAGATAATCTCAAGGGTCCCCTTTCATCTCTAAATCCATTTCCAAACAGCTCTCACAATACAGCCCTAAGAAACAGAAATATTCCAGGTGGCAATCAAGATGTCTAGACTCATTTCTGCAAGCTTGCCGCTGCTCCCAACCATGTGATTTGATCCCTTCTGATTAAAGTTTGGGACCAAAAGGCCAGCTGAAGAAAACCAAAATGATCCTGGAATCTTGGGGAAAATCTTGAGAATAGGACTACCTACTTACTCCTGAGTGAGGTTGAGATTCTTCTGCCCTGGCATTGAAGGCTACCCACAATTTACTGCCATGCTCTTTCTAGACAGATATCATATGACTTATTCCCTTCCATGTGCTCCCAGGGAGAAGGGCATTTATGGGGTGTGTGTGTGTGTGTGTGTGTGTGTGTGTGTGTGTGTGTGTGTGCAGGCTATTCTTCGTTCATGTTGTTCTTCATGCCTGCCATGCTCACCCATTGCCTCTCCCTCTTGAATTCCTACACATCCTTTTAAGCCCAACTCAGAATGCCTCCTTCTCCAGGGAGCCTTCTCTGACCCATCCTAGTTAGTCAGTCAGTCATAGAATTAAAAGTAGGAAAGTGCCTTAAAGGTTGTCTAATCCAGAGGTGTCAGACATGAGCACAGGGCCCACCATACTCTCAAGTTTGACCTGAACCAGATTAAAAGGTAATTGGGAAATATTTGACAAAGCAAATAAAAATACATAGATAACATTCCATTTTAAAACTCAGCCAATATGTGGCCGGCTTACAGTTTAGTGGCCCCTGTTTCTATTAGAGTTTGACACCAGCTGGTCTAAACCCTTCATTTAATAGAACAGGAAACAGAGGCAGAGAGGGATCTTCAGTGACTTGCCCAGAATTACAGAGCTAGAAAGTAGTTGAGCCTAGGACCTGAACCCAGTCCCTTTAATCATCTTTTTCTACTTTAGCCCTCCCACAGGATACTTCATTCACCATGTTTGAATATGTTTATCATACATTTATTTTATCAAAGGCATCTGTATGTCATATTATCCTACTAGACCATAAGCTCCATGAAGGCAGGCACTATGTTCTTGTCTAAATTTGCTGTCACCCCCAGCCACTGCTTGTTGGCCCTCCAGAGACACCTGACTCTCCCCTCTGGTCCCTCTGCTGTCACTAGGCATGGTCCTGTTGGGCTGTTGCATGTCGATGCCCACACTGATACAGCTGACAAAGCCTTGGGAGAGAAGCTCTACCATGGGACCCCCTTTCGTCGCTGTGTAGAAGAAGGACTCCTGGACTGCAGACGAGTGGTACAGATAGGCATCCGGGGATCTTCCATGACCCTGAATCCCTACAAATACAATCGAGACCAGGTGACAGACTGGGCAAGAAGAGTCCTTCTCCCCTCCTCTCCCTAACGCTTATGTAAGGTGGCAGTCACGAAGCTGGGAATGCTGGGGGTGACAGACTCTGTTTTTACCAGAAGTGTTACACGAGACAAAGACAAGGATGCTGGCCTAGGGGATGAGAAACCCCATTCTGGGGGCGAGGAAGTAAGAAGGGAAGTGGGTGTTACTGGAATGGTACCAAGAATATTTCCAGCTGCTCCCAGGAAGGAGCTGAGCAATGTCTGACAGGGATGCAGGGACCCCAGACACAGAAAGAACATTTCTTACGTACAAGAAGACAGTAGCCCGACCATGACAGCTTTATTAGTGCCTCAACACATTCTGCCAGGACGAGGTCACATGTGCTCTCTTCCAGGAAGCCCCTCTGCTGATCCCTGGCGTTGGTGCTCTCTCCCACCTCAAATTATATTTATCAAAAGACAGCTTGGAAAACAGGAAGCCCTGGGTTCAAGTTCCCTCCTCCACATGCCACCTCCCACATGCTGGCTGTGGGACCAGGGCCAAGCCTTTTAGCTTTTCAGGGCCCCAGTTAATTCCCTAAAAGTTGCAAAGCATATACCAATCTGCACTGGTAAAGTGAGTTTTCTATACCAATTAATTCACAGGTCCGATCCAATGTATCCATCTACTCAGGAGCTCTTGACCTGGGGTCCATTGATGCTTAAGACTGTGAATAGATTAGAAGAGGTTTAGCTTAGATGGGGAAAAAAGGTCTTTATTTTCACCAACAAGTAACTGAAACGTAGCATTTCATTTCCTTCAGTTAAGAAGGGAGGCAAAGGACCTCTGTAGTGCTTGCCTTCACCAGGTGGCCAGAAAGCCCATGACGCACAAAAAAGTTAAGAACCTGTGATCTGGTAGAATATAAGCTACTTAAGGGTATATATATGTGTGCACACACATGTATATACATACGTGTGTGTATATACACATATACTACACACACACACACACACACACACACACACACACACACGTGTTATATTTTGGTCTGTGTCCCCAGCACCTAGCACAGAGCTTGGCATACAGCAAGTATTTAATACATGCTTGAGGAAAAAATCAAGAGCCATTCAGAGGATGAAGAGCTGCCCAGGGTGGTCTTTGGATGCCGTTAGGGGCACTCAGTCTTCAACAGTAACTGATTTTTGAGTGAGGACAGAAGGGAATAGTGATAAAGCAGAAAGGGGTTGGAAAAACTCCTCTGTCTGTCTGTCTGTCTCTCTCTTCATAACAGCAGCAGAGAAGGTCGTTTTCCCTTCTCTGGTTTGGGAAACTTTTCTGTTCTCTAGAGATCTTTAACTTCACATCCTGTAGGGCTTCCGTGTGGTCCTGGCTGAAGATTGCTGGCTGAAGTCGCTAGTTCCGTTGATGGGGGAAGTGAGGCAGCAGATGGGAGACAAGCCTATTTATATCAGCTTTGATATTGATGCCTTGGATCCAGCCTATGCCCCAGGGACGGGGACTCCTGAGATTGCTGGCCTCACACCAAGCCAAGTAAGAAAGTTCTGAAAGAACAAGTGTCTGAATTCTCAGCGTCAGTGGATGGCTGCAGACCCACTCGGCTTTGAGTCAAAGCATGGGGACCTGGGTTCAATTTGTGGCTCTTTCACTTGCTGCAGTAATATGCAACCTTGGGCAAATAACCACCTCTCCAGGCTCATTTAGCTGTAAAACGAGGGGGCTGCTGCTAGCAGAAAATGCAAAATCCTGAGCCTAGCACACTCAAAGCCCTCTCAAATACGGCTCCTGTGTTCCCAGTCTTTCTCATCAGTTCCCTTCACGCACTGTTCTAACCCAGCCACCTCCATGCCTTTACAGAGGAGCTTCCGATGTCTGGAATGCTCCTTCCTCTCTAGCCTCCTTCACAGCACAGTTCAGGTGCCTGACCTTCACACCTGCTCTGATTTCCCCAGGTGTGAGTCTCTCCAAATTGCTGCGTGTACATTGCACCCTGGTAAGGCACAAGCTTCTTGAGGGCAGGGATTCTTGTATTCTCTCCAGGGCACCTAGTGGATCCTGAATTATCCTGGACATCCCTCCGGTTCAGAATCCTTTGATCTCTAACACTAGGTGGGGAGTTCAGGGACCAAGATTCATTTGGGACTTTCCTACGTCTAGCTTCATCTGTTGGCCTGTTAGGAAGCTGCAAGTTGGACTTCAGACGTCACAGCATGAGGTTCACCATGGGAGGTCACTGTGCTGGATGGGCTACCTTTCCATTTATTTAGCTAACGTGACCATATACCTTGCTTAGGCCTTGGAGATTATCCGTGGATGTCAAGGCCTGAACGTGGTGGGCTGTGATCTTGTGGAAGTCGCGCCTATGTATGATCCTTCTGGTGAGTACAGGGAACAAAGTTGTAAGTAATGGCCGAGCCAGAGGAGGGCTTAATTTGGTCAGTCGCCAGGGAGACGTGAAGTTCCCTTCATTCAGCAAAGGGAACGTTTCTAATAGTGAGGCAAATCAGCTTCTGGTTCTGCTCCTTGCCAACGCAAGCTCATTAACCATAACAAAACCCCTGAGAGAGAGTTAAATATTATTAGCCTTTCCCACTTGTCTGCTGAAGAAAAAGCTAGGCCTGCAGTTTTGTGACAGAGGTGTCAACCGGCTCTGATATTTTATATTTATGCTTTAATATTTCACTGAAAAGTGAACACTTGGAGTAGTGACCTGCTTTACTGAGCAGGCTGCTTCAACAGCAGATGTTCATGACAGATGCTGAGCCACTGATTTTAGGCCAGAAAGGCCTATAGGTTTAGGGTCTGGCTTACCTGAGAGAACTGATATTACATAAAATACTTATGATGAGTTTTCCTTGGGAAATTTCTTTTTCTGGATTAAAAAAAAGGATATTCCAATTGAACTTTTAAGTACTGATGCTGAACAAAGGCGTAGAATGACTAAATCCAGTCTCAGGAAGATGGATGTCGTGTTGGGAGTCCTAAGGGAGGGATGGACAGTGGGAAAAACTCCTCTTGGGCATGTGGTCACATTCTCGTTCTTAAGCTTTTGTGAGAGGAGCTCCTCAGCAAACTCTCGGGGGCCTTCTTCCTTTTCAGGAAACACAGCTCTCCTGGCAGCCAATCTGCTGTTCGAGATGCTGTGTGTTCTCCCCAAAGTGAAAACTGTCTGAGCTGTTCCCTGGCCTCGGTGCTTCTCAAAGGGAAATCTCCTTACAAGGATGGACTGGTCACAGGGCAGACAGGTCTTAGGAAGAGTCTACAGGCAAGTGGCCTAGCTGAAGCACCCAGAGGATTAAGCACACTGGACAAGTTTTTGCCAAACCAAATAACGATTTTCTGCTAAATGCGTCTTAAGTGTCTTGTCTGACTTCTAGAAATGGAAAAATAAAACGATCATCAATATAAGCTAATTCTTTTCCAAGGACATAGTTACAATTAAATAAATATTAAACAGCCAAAAAAATCATGCCCCAAACAAAAGCCCATTCCCCCGACCAGAACCAGGAATTCTGATCACCCATAGTATCCTAGGATGTCAGTGCTGAAAAGGGTGACACAGAAGATATAGTAAAGATGACTCTATCAACACCTACTTGCACTAGGTGGTTAGGAAACTGGGACTTTGCAATTGCATCTCGGACTTAAGATATGGAGAAACGTCGGGCTGACAAGGAAAGGAAGAGTCATCCGTGAAACTAGCTCACACAGCGGGGTACATCTGACCTCTGTGAGCATGGCGAGTGGAGCCAGGAAACAGTGTCATGCCCACTCCATTCTGCCCTCATGCTCACTTCACGGCCACTCTATCACAGCCATTGTGACCTAGGCTGCCGTCCTTATAATCCAAGAGCTGACCCATCATAGTCACACATTAAAATAGTTTATTTCAGTTTCCAGTCTGTAAGTCTTAAAACAAAAATAACATCAATGCCTGTTCACAATACAAAAAACAAACATAAAAAAAGATAATTTGCTAAATAAGTTATTTGTTGCTAAGAGTATCAAAAGTGCAAAATATTCACCTTCTTTTCAGACCTCTATCTAAGGTATGACCACTCCCTCTCCAGAACTGCATTGAACTGACAGCCTTCTCCCCCCCCCCCCCCCCCAGCAACTGTGGGATGCTGTTGACTGTAGCCCAGTCAGGCTGCTCTCAAGCAGGAACATAAGGGTTTGGCTATCAGCTACATTTCCTTTTGTTGCAAAGATGCTTTGCTTCAGTTTCTGAGATTTTTTACTAACAAATAAAATAAAATAAAAGCAGGATCTCTGTGTGTGTTCCCCATCCCTAATTCCTACCCACACAAGCCTACTGCTTTTTGACTGGGAGCCCCTGCACACATGTGTGGTAGATGGGTCCAGAAGGCATTGGTGAGATGAGCATGATGAAGCAGAGGCTGCTGTTGCTGGGTAACCTCTCCCAGTGTGGGGCTGAGGGTGGGGAGGGTGTTTAAGGACAGGGGAGCTGGGCTTGGGCTATTATGCTATTATTGCTCTGACGAAGGTCACAGCTTTGAAGACTGGGAGCACAAAGGAAAACAGGCATTTTCCTTTTGAAATGAAGCAATGTTCTCACAAACTTGTTTTGGCTCAGTGTCATGCTTTTATGTGTCTCTTCTCAGCAGTGAACACACTTACATAGAGTCCTTACCAATCAGCAAGAAAGAACCCAGCTTTGCAAGCTGCTTCATCAACTTGGTCATACCTCAAAATTCACCTTAAATTAGAAAGCTGGTTTGAATAAACAATTCATCCTTTATGCAGGTGCCTCTGACATAAGGGCAAATAATATCAGTTGAGACTATCTTTGGAGGAAAGGCTTAGATTATTGAGGGGTTCAGTTTGAAAAGAAAAAAGCAAAATCAGTATTGTACAAAAGGAATCACAAACCCATAACCACAGAATGGTTGCACCATTCTAATAGACCTTAGAACACAGTGTCAGAGTTGGGAGGGATCTTAGAGATCATTTACCAAGTCCCTCATTTAAAATTTTTCTTTTAACTTGACAAAAACCCCTCTCCCCAAAAAACTTCTGGGGGAGTTGTCAGGACTAGTACCTTCCCCAGCAGTGGCTCCAGTTCAAACACAGTGGCCTTGTGGTAGTAGGAGGGGGGCTGAAAGTACATCTGGCCAGTTGATTTGCATTGTCTACACAAGGCAAAGTGCAAAAAAAGAAGCAGCAATTTAGGACGAGGTTTTTGGTTTTCAGAACCTAAGGTGAGGAAGCCCATGCGAATAGGAATTAAAAAGAAAAGCTCAAGGCTGCACCGGAAGCCCAGGCGAATGCACGAGCCCATTCTCTTCGGCAGCCCCACTCACCCTAACCAGGTAGAGCCCAGGCACAAGGCTGTGCGTCACTCGACTACAAAGTCAAAATGCTGACTCGGCTGGTTCCAGTACTGGCTCTAGCCCTGTCAGGTGGGTCCCGAGACCTGGGCTGCCAAGGCTACTCAAGCATTTCTTGGAGGATCAAGGGAAGAGGGAAGCCTGGCACCGTTTTTTTTTCCTCCCTTAATGAATAATATTGGAAGAATCTTGGTTTAAATCATTCACCACTTTACCCCTGCAGGCACTCACAATGTAACTAACTACTTCTGGGTTATTTTGCAGTCAAATGATATAGTCTAAAGCAATTATGATTTAAAAAACCCACGTCATTTTCCTATGAGTCCTGTCTCTGGCTTCTGCCTCCTGCTTTAGAAATGAGTAGGTCATGCTGACATTTTCGAAGGCAGTCAGCCTTTACTATCTCCTGGTAGCTCTGTTCTTAAAGAAGGGGTCAGCTCTAACAGGTTGGCACTGTCCCATCTGGAGCCAACCAAGCTGAAACAGCTGGCAATTTCAGTTTGACCCTGAAGCTGCTGAGGGTGATGGTAAGTCAATATGGAAAACAGCTACGATGACCTGTCAGAATGGGCCAGAGGCTGAAACCAAGCATCCTCTAAATGGGCTGCTACAACTAGAGTGGTTCCACTGGTGACAGGATTTGACAGCACTGTGGGGGAAGATCACTGAAAAATTTTAAGTTCCTTGATACAAAGAAATGTCTGTTGTCCTAAAGCTGTGCCCTGGGGGTTGAAAAGGTTCCTTCAGGTTGACTAGAGACAAGGGAGAAGCACTTGACTTGGGTTCTACGCATCTACTGGCTCGTGGCAGCTTCTCCCTACATCTGAGAACCCAACCAGAGGTTATGGCTCCTAGTTAAGAGAATACCCTACAGCTGGCTGAGACAGAAAGGCATCTGAAGACAATAGACATTGCAACGGCTCAGAGTGGCCGCAGCGCTCCCTTGGTGTCCCCCTCACCTGGGCTATGGGCTGAGCAGGGGAGGCTTGTCCGGATGCCTTAGGCCACAACAACAAGAACATGGAACTGCAAAGTCTCAGACACTTTTGCTCTTCCCTTCCCCTGGAAAAAAAAATGAATGCGCATGCAGGGCCCCTGCTCAGCCTGTCAGTGCAGGAAAGACAGCTCACAGTCTGCCAAAGGGGGATGCCCCCAAATACACTCCTGGCCACTTCCAGGGTGCCCCCCCTCCACCCTCACCCCAGAATTACTGCAGGCACCGAGGCAGGAGCACAGTGGGAGAAGGACAGAGAGGGATGAAGAAGGGGACGGGGGTGACTGCCTCTGCCCACGCGCTTCATAAGGCTCAGTCCTCTCTGAGTCACGGGGTCTCTCCGTGGAAGAGACAGGACAAAATATGGGAAGACCATGTGGTGAGGACATGAGAGGAAGAGAGAATGTCTGCTTTAAATAGTGCGGCATCCAAATGAGGAAAAACCCCCAAACATTTTGGTACACAGAATTCAACTTGTATATTTCACTCTTAGGTTAGAGCGAGACAAAGGGAAGATTCTCCTAGTCAGTGCCCTAGAAGAGTCTGTCTGGTGCGGTGGTCTGGACAGTCCTGCTTGTCTTCCTACAAAGTCTGCAGGGGCTGAGTCTCTTTCTAGAGAATCCTCTCAGTCTAGTTCAGGCCACGATGGGATATAGAATCTCTGTAAAGAGCCTTCCAAAAGGCGTTCCATCCACAAGGACAGCTTGCTCAGTTTGCCTCTGACGGATTTGGATCCAGAATTACAGAAAGGTTTCCCTCGGGTCTCGCCCAAATGGAGGGAAGAGTCAAGGTCACCACTCGGGCCTATGGTTTCCTCGTCATCCGCTGTTTTCTGGGGCTTGAAGAGGCAGAAGTATTTCTTGTGTCCATTCAAAGCCAGGACGTAGCCAGTGTAGTCACGCTCCAAGAAATGCCTATCATACTGGTTTGGAATGGGAGCAGCATCCTGGGCAAACTCTAAGAGATATTCCAGCCACTCTCGGTGCTTATCAAGACTCAGGAAGGAGAAGTGAAGGCAGCTGCTCCTGTGGGAAGAACAGCAGCCACGTGAGCCAGGATCTAGTCAGACTCCCCTGTGGACAAATGCCTTCTGGACCCGGGCAGAGAATGGGCTGCGAGAGGGGCTCAGAGGGCCCCCACCCAGGCTGGCCCCCTCCACTGCAAACCTCTCCCTGGCTCACTTTCACAAGAAACCAAGGGGAAAGTTTCTACTGAAGGGCCCAGAAATTGGAATCTTTTCAATCTCTTGCTTCAATCAAAGCAAAAGAATCTAAGGCCAAGGCTGAAAGCAAATGCTTTTTCTTCTATGTCTGATTGTACCCATGAGTCTTAGGGACACATGACAGGGATTCTTTACATCTTGCATATTCCACTCCAAATCCAGGCTTTGCATTCGTGCCTGGCTTGAATTACCCAAGGCCCCCCAAGTTAAAGGCATAAAAGGGGGGGAAAGCCCAACAAAGCTAACCCTTGCTCCAATGTGAGCTTAGAGCTCTCTCTCCCGGCCTTTTGCCACACACCCCAACGCTTACCCAGTGAATGTGTACACTTCAAAAGCAAACTTCTGAAGCAGGCTGGTCTTGGTGGAGTCAGACAGAATAAGGACGACATTCATGTGGCCTGGCCTCAGTCGAACTAGGTTACTCATGTATGTGACATCTGTAAGCTCAGTCACCTCCACAAAACCCTTCTTGGGAATTCTGCTGTGGAGAAATATCAAAATGTGAAAAGGTGGGCAGGAGGAGGCCATGGCTAACACTTCAATGATTTAGAGATCTCACAGGCCAAGGGTGGGTACTCCCTTGTGTGATGACTGATGTACCTCATAAATATTCCAAAACAGTAGACTTTGGGGTTGCACTTCCCCCCAAATTCCTTACCCTTTGTTCTGAGTCTTTCTGAACTTAGCAAAGTTGGTGCTGGGACAAAGTTGGTGCCTCACTGGACCTGTACTAGAGTAGCCCTCTGATGACTTGTCATATTGTAGAGGCGACCATGGTAAGCCCAAAGTGTTCCAGTAAAAACTAATAGTACGAAAGATCCACAGTAGCACGATAAACAGTGGAAATAAGTGGGAATTGAAGGAGGGATAAGCACTTCTAGACCTCAAATTATACTACAAGGCAGTACTCACCAAAATTACTTGGTATCACTTAAAAACCAGAAAAGTAGACCAGTAAAATAGATGGGGCAAGGAAAATCATTAAAAATCAAACTCAGTATTTGATAAACCCTAAAACACAAATTACCTGGGGAGGAATTCTCTATTTAACAAGAAACAATGGGGAAAACTGAAAAGCAGCATGGCAGAAATGAGGTTTGGACCAACTTTTCCGTGTCGTCTTCCACAATAAACTCAAAATGGATGCCTGACTCGACTACAGAAGGTGAAACCATAAAAACAATCAGAAAAGAGCCCAAAGAGCCACAGGTAGGAAGTGAGTTCTTATCAAAATGAGGGATAAAGCTGACCACAAGAAATAAAATATTTAACTTTGATCACAACAATTTGAAAAAGTTTTGTATAAACAAAATTAAAGCACCTAGAACAAGGAGAATAGCAACAAGGGAAGCCGTCAACTGGGGGAGAAACCTATAGGCAACTGACAGAAAGATATAAGACTAAAAGCTATTCCCCAAGGGACTAAGTAGTCATAGGATATGAACAGTTTCAAAAGAATAGTAGCAAATTATAGCCACATAAAACATTATTACATATCATTAATAACAACAGAAATGCAAATAAAAACAATTCGGGTGTCACATCCTATCCAGCAAATTGACAAATATGACAAAAGATGGGAATAATCGTTGTTGGAGGAGTTCTGGTGATGGAATCCTAATAAAGCTGCCTCTAGCCCCAATCTAGCCACTGCCCCCACCCCCAAGATCTCAACTTCCTCATATTCTTCACAGAAACAGCAGGTGTGTCAATGTACTCAAGCACAACCACATCCATCTAGCCTCAGACAGGACCACAAAAGCCAGCCAATCAGAAAGCAACACCACCAGGATGCCTGCCCACCAAACTATAGAAGGGGCTTTCCCTAAGATGGCACCTGCAGAGTAATAGTGAAGAACTGACTTAAAGTAAACTTATGACATAGAGAGGCTTATTATAATACCATTATCATATATTAGTGCTCCTCCAAATTGGTTTTTCTGTATGCATTATGAGAAACTGCACGTGTAATTCCACTGAGGCTGAGACCCCTCCCCTATTACCTAATCCCTTGACAGACCTCTCCTGTCTTTCTAATATTCATATTTTCTACTGTGTAGTCAGCATCATATACTCTATAAAATTGCCTGTCTGGTCCTACTGAAATTGCCAGCTCCTTCTTGGAGCTCAGCTGGCTTTCTGAGATCTATAATTCTCAATAAATGCCTTTACTTGGTTTGGAGATGGTCTGAATCTGTGAATTCTTTTGAGATGAGCCCACAACACACCATGAAACTGCAACACTGGGAAGACAGGCACACTGGTACATTGTTGGTGGAGCAGTGAAGCAGTATAACTATTTTGGAAAGCAGCTTGGATAATTATGCAAATAAAGGGACTAAAATATCCATACTTTCTGACCCAGAGAACCCACTGATAGGCATAAACACCAAGGGGGTTAAGGAGCCCCTTTAAAAAGGGGCTCTATATATACTTTAAAATATTTGTAGCAACATTTTTTGTTGTAGCAAAGAACTGGAAATGAAGTAGGATGCCCACTGGTTGGGGAATGGCTAAACATGCCATAGAATGGGGATGTATTGAATGTTACTATGCTGTAAAAAGACAATGAATATGATGAACACAGAGAAGTATGAGAAGGCTTATATGAACTGATGCAAAGTGAAATAAACAGAACCAGGAAAACAACATACACAGTGGCAACAACAATATGACAAAATGAAAAACAAACAGAAAATCCAAACACTGCAAAAATATAACCACTAAGCTTGACCCCAGAGAAAAGCTATGAGAAAGCCCCTTCTTGGCCTAGTCATTGGGTCACTGGGCTAAATCTCTTTATATCATATCAGACTTGAGTTTGGCGTGCTGCTTTTCTTCTTTTCCTATTCTGTTTTACAGGATGGTTTTCTGGGAGGGGAAGTGTGATACTCTGGGAAATGTAGGTGATAAAAAACAAATTAGCTTAAGTAAGACTGGTTTAAAAGAAACGAATGAAAACAGGTTTGAATGCTAATTAATTAGCCAGCAATTCCTTTCAAGTAAGGTATAACTTCCATGAATGGGAGGATTTGAATAAAATGCCCCCTCAAAAAGGTTATACCAGTTTATGTGTGCACGCACACACACATTTATGTACACAAGTGTACATGTATCATGTGTCTGTATGTACACTGCACTGCTTTAGTTTAGCTCAAAGCTGCTCCCAAGATGGGAAGCTGCAGGTGCTACAGAGGTCCCTACACCAATCAAACCACAGGTTCAGGACGTTTTTCAGAGCTGCCATCCGGCCAGTGCTTCATCAGTCTCAAGGTGCCACGCCAATGGCAGCTCCTGACCACGGATGCCTTTCTTTACGCTGCTACCTGCTGTTCTCTTTGCTCAAGCAGGTCTCAGTCTTCTCAGTCTTCTCACTGACTTCTTTCTCAGGAGGCCGTGACTCTTGATCCTCATTGGAATCACTGAACAAATGAAGAAAAGGGCTTTCAGATTAAGTAGAGATTGGCCGTAGAAACACTTCAAAGGCAGGGGCAGTAAACATCCAGACACTTGCCTGAAAGCTTGAACAATGACTGTTCCAAAAAGAATGAAGAGAGCAGAAAAGATCAGGGATAGAAGGGGCATCATTTCTCGCCTGAAACAAGATTAACAGATGGGAAAAACAGGTTATACTGAGTGTTTTTTTCTTTCTAACAACCAACATGGGACTGCTTTTTCCATTTCTAATGCATTTGTCTCTTTTGTCTCCAAAGAGGTAAACTTTATTTTCCCTCCCAAACCCCTAACTCGAAGGTAGCCATGGCATGAACTCTGGATCTCGGGGGCAATATGCAGAATATTAAGTATAAACCTATCAAAGGAAATAGGCAATAAAGGATTAAATTAAACATCAGGATCAACTTTCCTACAATGAAGATGGTCTGTTTAGACACTGAAAAAGGTTAACGAATGGGCCGTACGACTGGTTTTCTATAAACCCATGGCTAGAGCAACTTCAGTAGAGTCCTCTGTGAAAGCTGGGGATTAGACTAAGTAGAAGTGGCCTTGCATATTTCTTTCCAATCTTTAGATAACATGATTTGTCCATAATCACTCAAGAATAGAAATTTATCATTCAACAAACATTTGGGTGCCTATTTGTTTAAAGAACTATATACCCTAGGCTACTGAGAAAGAGATCCAGAGGAAAGGCCTTTCCCTTGAAAACTCCTGAGTATTCTCTCACTTGTCCATGTCAACAAGTACTTCTCAGAAACCATGGCAAGATGGAATATTTCTTCCTAAAAAAAGCAATGTTGGTATTAGCACAGAAACAACCATTCAACACAAACAATTTTCCTACCAATTGTTGTGAAGTACACTGTCCCAGAAGTCTGAGAAGTATTCAAAAGTGGAGTATATCCATCGAAGGAAAAACACCTAATTTCAAGACAAAGAACAAGGACTCAGATGGTGACCCTGCTCCTTCCCGTGGAATCACAGTGAGAAGGCCTCATTTGTGGCAGATGTCATGGAACAACATTGAGGATGGCGTTGTAGTTGGCAGTCCTTGGTCTCACGTAAGTTAAAGACCTAATCAGCATTCCTTGAACAGAAGATCCAATTTCATCTAGGGAGGGATTTCTATTTTCTGAAACGAGACTTTGTTATTTATGGCTAACAGTTTGCTAGGTTAGTTAAGAGTGAAAATGTCTATTTAGTTCAATTAAGAAGTATCTCTCTGCTCACCTCTGACCAGAGGCAAAGGGGAATAGTTAAAGAGGAAATGATTGGTTTAAGGAAGCTGTTTCTCCAAAGGTATATCAACCATAACATTATTATTATTCTGTGTGGTAAACAAAACAAAATAAAAAACCAGCAAAATCTAAACTTGAGATAGGTACTTTTATTTTGCTATGGAATTTTTTCTTTTGTTTTAGGGTTACTAGAAAATCTAAGTGGAAACTGCTTGGAAGAGAGAATTCCAATGGGCAAGAGAAACTGCCTGATTGGACCTCTCTCTGAGCAATGTTTGTATATAGATTGTAGCCCAAATGCCTAGTACGGAGTTGTTCTTCCATATTCTAACCTCAGAAAGAAGCCAAAGGTTCTTTTGCCTCAGCACAGTGGCCACCAACTGTCAACAAATTCCTACTACGTTAACAGTCTCCTTTCCTAATATGGTGCCCTTGCTTAACCTTCCCACTCACCCCTGCTATAAGATTATGCAAACAGTAGGGGTCCAATCTTCTGTGAACTCTGAGAAGCAGTAGGGTAGAGAAGACTATTGGAAACCTGGCTCTGACACTGCTTCCCCATTGATGAAATGAGGACAATAATCTTCACACTAGCTACCTAACAGGGTTGCTGCAGGGAGAGTATTTTGGAAATCTTCACAGTGCTAAAGCACCAAGAGTTATTCCACATAAACTATTATGGGCCAAAGATACTTACAGGAGCAAGCTCATCAACCAGATCAAGTAAGATGGCCTCGGAGGAAAGAAGAGCGGGGTCTCTCCGTAGCTGATCCAGATAGCCCAGAAGGATGAACTTATCCTCCTCACTTCCAGTCCAGGGATTTTCCAGGGCTTTGTATACCACCTTCCCAGCTGTGTTACGCCTTTCTAAGATACAGACCTGAGCCACAACACAAAGAAAAAAGGAAGTCTCAGCTATGATAACAACCTGCTTCTTTGGGGAAGTGCAGAAAACACCAGCTAAGGGCAATTATGTCATATGGGTTTTCAAAAGGTAGAAGGCAAAAGAA